TGTTCTGGTACAAACAGGATGGAAACAACAGCCCCAAATTCATGTTGAGCCGCATGCAAGGGGTCGAAGTAAAAACAGAGGACGAGTTTAAGGAGAGATTTTCATCCACACTGGATTCCACCTCAAGATCAGTTCCTCTGAAGATCCAGAAGCTTCAGCTGTCTGACTCTGCTGTGTACTACTGTGCTCTGCAGCCCACAGTGACAGGAAACACCAAAACTCTGTACAAAAACCTTTGGAGCAAAGACAACAGAATACTTCACAACGTCCACTAGAGGGAGTCACACACTGTTAAACTTCAGTGTGATGATGAAGTCTTGAATCAGTTTACTCCATCACCAGGATTGTGATGTAAAACTTTAGAAATGAAGCCACTAAAAATATATTTACCCTAAATGAATAAACGTGTTTAAATGTTATAGGTTTAAAATATTTCGATAAGGCCTAAAATAGCTAGCACGTAGTAGTTGTTCAATTCTTTATTTAATCACAACATCAGTTTCCATTCACTACCAAAGACCAGGCCAGTAAAGATATGGATTTTGAATATGGGATCAGAGTGATGAATGAGGTAATGGAAAGGTGAGAGATGGAGATTTGAGGGGAGGGATCATGGTGATGGATGGAAGGAAGAGAACGATGGATCGGTGGCAGGTAGGCAGGAGGGATCCAGGGGAGTTGAGACTGAGGGGGGAACAGTCTCTTCATGTGCTCTGTATCACATAGAACCCCAAGAAGAAACTTCAAATGGAAAGATGTTTCAGACAGAGGCGGAGCCAGACGCTGTAAACATTCGGGGCTTAGCACAAACCTAGGGGGGTCCGGGGTCATGCACCCCCGGGGAGATTTTTTCCCATTAAGCCGGCTACGTGCACTATTTTTCATGCTGCTTGAGATGATAGAATGCCTAACAACCTAGACACTATCTGGGAAAAAGATGAACGTTGCTTTGGAAAATAATCGTCCTGTAGAGCTCCAATCTATTTTGGATTTAATTGTTCTCCAGCTGGAGTTAATCCAAAACACAACTAATGTTGAAGATCACTCATTTTCTCTCCTGGCCACTAAAAAGAGACAAAACTTATCTGATGTTTCTGTTTTTAACTTACATAACCAAGGTACAGTAGAAATATGGTGTTTCTGATCATCACTGGAGGAGGGAATCTCTCAGCACCTCATGATTCTATTTGATTATAAAACATTTATAAAATCTTTGAATAATCTCTTTGTGTATGTGATTAGTGGATAATTACTAAACATTTCATTTACACATTAAAATCCAAAACGTCTCATTAGCTTAGTTTACATCCCTAATTTACTTTAATTTCAGCTCCTTCATGGTCACCACCGTCCTTCTCTCAGCCCTAAACTTAATATGCAATAAATATTAAATGCATATCTTATTCTCTTTACTTCTGGCATCTGTGCTCCCTTCACTCCTTTCTTCTAAACACATTTTCATCTCTTGTCCCTCTTCCATTTCACCTGCTTTCACTTTTATTTCTTCTGGAGTCCCTGGATCACCAGTTTGTGGTTAATCCAGCTGCTGTGACGCCCGTCCTTCCTCTTCCCCAGCTGACTCATCTGGGGGACAAAATAACAGTCTCAGACTCAAACACAGTCAGATCAGCTGACAGTAGCTAGCGAGTGGTGATGAGTGGATGAAGCATTATGAAGCTTTGGGGCTTTAAGCTAAGCAAACACAGCTGCATCTGGTGACGTGTAAAACTTTTAGACTGAGGCCGAGACGCCACCACAACTGGCTGAAACTAATAACTTTAGTCTCATGTGTGCAATAAAAGTCAAAAAGGGTTAGGGTTAACCTGACGGTTGATATTTATGAGATTCAGACATGTGATGTGATTGGACAGTGATATTCATTAAACTAGCCTGTTATTACTTTTGTTACATCAGTACAGGAACATCTCAAATCTAAAAAAACTGAATATGGTGGAAAAGTTCATTGTGAGCACCAGAACCAGACAGAGATTAAAGGCTTAAGAAACTTTTGCAGGTGTTTTGAGTTAATTAGCTGATAAGAGCTCTTCTCAGGTCGACATTTCTCTATAATAAATCATTTATTCTGAAATTCTAATACATTTTGTTTTACTAGAGTTTTGATTCTATGAGCTGTGAGCCCTAATCATCAAGATTAAAATGAAAAAAGGCTTGAAATATTTATAAAATGAGATTTTTGAATTAAATTATGGAAGAAAATTATTTTACAGCAGATGCACCTGTAGGCTACTTGGTATATTTGTCATCAGGAGGAAATGTCCTCATACTTTCTCATACTCTCTCATGTCTTTCTAATCTTTATCTCCATATTTCTCAATTGTTCTCTCTTCTTATCCCACTAATGTGCTGAGATCAGCTGGAAAACGCCCTGAGATGATCATGTGATACAAGATCAGGCACAATGTGTTGAAACTGTGCGCTTCACAGGAGGGAAACGAGCCTCAGAATCAGCCGAACATCTCTAATAGTGAGATAATATCACCTAATAACATCTAACTAGCCAGAAATACAGTGACTGAACTCAAGTGTTACAGCTGCAGACTCACAAACCTGAAACACTTGTTCACTGTCTGACGCTGCTTCTCTCTGTGAACGGCCGGTCAGGTTTACCTCTGCGCATAACAAACTTTGTCCATAACACTAGCTGGTTAGCTAGCACGCTCGCTCACTGAGGGGGCGCCAGTAAAACAGCACAGACAACAGCCTCCTATCACGATGCCAAAGAAGAAGAGTTCTATTTTTCTTCTTCTTTAGTGTTTAAACCCAATTAGCCCCACCCCCTCCGCTCCGCCCATGGTTTCTGATGTTGTTGGTTAGTTGCGGAACTAATGAGATTCTTTGCGTCTCCAGAGCAGAAATGTTTGAGGAACTAAAAGCACAATCAGCTTGATGTTGAGGAGAAGGGCTGTGCAGCAGAGAGGCTGTTTAGTTTCTTCATTCTACTGCAGTGGAAGAACATTGCTCATCTGCTGTCTGTCTGGCTTTAACAACTCCAAAGACATGTTGCTTTACCTCTTTTTACTTTGCTCTCAGTTCATAGGTGAGTGTTGGAACACAGATGAAAGGCTCATTAACCTGCTGGATTAACCAGATATTTGGTCTACATTTCAGAACTAGAGGTTTCTCTGTGGAAGGGAACAACTTCCACTAGAGGGAGTCACACACAGTGCACTGCAATAGTCCAGGTGTGAAAAGATAAAGGACATAGCTCATTTTATTTTGGTAATATTTCTAAGGTGGAAGTAGCAGGATTAAATGTTACAACTACATTTCTGTCTGGAGATTTTCAATTGGTTGTCAGTGGACCAATAAACGGTTGTTGTTTGCTTACTAGGTGATCAGGGCCAAATATTATTATTTCTGTCTTGTTTGAGTTGAGCTGCAGAATTAACAAGTCATCCATTTCGCAATAACAAAAAGAACTCCATTACATTGACAGCTAATGTTATCTGGCTAAAAGGACAAGTAAATAGTGTATCATCAGCGTAGCAGTGATGAGAGACTCTTTTATAATAACTGATAATGTTTCCTAATGGAAGCATATAAAAGGACAACAAATGGGACCAAGAATAGATCCCTGAGCCACCCCACACTTCAGCAGAGGGTAGATGAAACATAAGTACCAATGGAGACAGGAAATTCAATTATTTGATCAATAGTGTTAAGCAAATTACTAAGGTTGAGCAACAATAAAACATGTGACTCCCCAGCATCGGCATCAGTAAATCATATGTAACCATAATGAGGGCGGTTTCTGTAATGTGAAGTTTGTGAAACCCAGTCTAACACAGCTACGAGTTGAGTTAGCACCATCAAGAACTTAGGATATGAAAGCAAGCTTAGAAATGGGTCTATAGTTCTGTGGAAGCGATTAATCAAGTTATGCTTTTTAAATAAAGGCTGAATGCTAGCTTGCTTAAAATAATTAGGGATGCGGCAGGAAGAAAGGGAACAATTAATAACGTGAGGTAAGCAAAGGCCGATGTCCACTATAACCTTCGTTAGGAGGGATGTGGCTAAGATATCAAGAGGGCTTGAAGAGAAAAGCACGTGAGAGACAGTATCGATGAGCTCAGGAAAAGAAATTAGCTGAAAATTGCTGAGCAGTTCAGGACAGGCAGGATAATAAGAAATATCAGCAACAACAGTGGTAGTAGGTGTTAGACCTAATGTCAGTGATTTTCTACTTAAAAGATAATAAAACTGTTGACAGTCAGCATTTGAAGAGGCTGGTAAGGCAGGGGGAGCAGAGTTGATGAGTCTGTCTAATGGTTGTAAACTGGAATCTAGGATTATTCTGGTAACTGGTGAGGAGGTTACTGAAGTAGTTGGCTCTTGCAGCTTTCAATTGTTTGCTATTTGTATATGAAGGACCTTCTGACTTCTTACAACAGACATGCAATTTAGTCTTAGGCAGCATGGATACAAAGGTGAGGAGAAACAAGACAATAGAATCTATACTCAGATGAAGAGTAAAGACTAAATCTAATGTGTGGCCACGGTTATGAGTTGGACCAGACACATGCTGGATGAAATTAAATGAATGACATATTTAAAGAATCTGTAGCAAAAGTTGATTGAAACATTAATTTAGATACTAAAATCTTCAGGAATAACTTCAAACAACAGAAGATAAAAGTTCAGAAAATATATGTGCAAATCTGTTATTTTAACCAGGTATGAAATAGATCATAAGGCAACAGACAGGTACAGAATCAGAAGTAGATACTAGTAACAGTAGTATATCGTCTGTGTAAAGACTGACCTCAGTCAGGACCTTCACATGTTCTGCAAAGAGTCAATCAGTGTTACCTTATCAGCTACTTGTTACCTGATGGAAATGATGTCATTTAGTGAATAACAGCACCACAGCAGAGACAGAGTTGTGAGAAGAAGGAGGGAGGGATTAAGGGAGGAGCAAAACTGGGACTCAAGGACAGAAAAGACACAAACTTTCACAGACAGATTCTCTTTCTCTTTAAGATGCTGTCAGTGAACTTCAGTCTGTTTGTGACTTTGTTTCTGCTCACAATAAGAGGTAGGTGAGATCATCAACATTAAGAGAGCTTCACTGATAGAAACCTTTAGATTGTAAAGTTACAGAGTTATCTCTTCCTTCAGGTGTCAGCTGTGAAGAACTCACTCCAGTCAAGAATGAAGAGTTCGCTTTAGAAGACAGCTCTGTTACTCTGTCCTACAAATACTCTAAAAAAGCAAATGTTGGAGATTATTTCTTCTGGTATCGACAATATCCAGGAAAACCACCAGGGCTCCTCATCTCACACTCTGCTTCAGGAGCAGTAGGAAATGATCCAATCCCTGGATGGTCTGCTAAAGTGAGTGATGATAAAACCCATCTGGATCTGCAGATCTCCTCTGCTGCAGTGACAGACTCTGCTGTGTACTACTGTGCTGTGAGGCCCACAGTGACAGGAAACACCAAAGCTCTGTACAAAAACCTGACAGCTCCTCTGAAGATTTACTCACTGCAGCTCCTCCTTTTACTGAACAACAGTGACACCAAGTGGACACTGACAACACAATCTAATGACAAGTTACAACATTACTCCTGTTAGCGATAAAACACATCTTATCCAGATCATGGTGTTTAATTGAGGCTATTTCTGATGATGAGACAAACTAAAATAATTACAGACCCATGTTGATGAATCTATTGAACTATTCCAGGGTGAAAAGTGGTTCAAGAGACTTTGTTGTAACAGAAAGTTCACATGTTAAAGCTCCTCATTATGAGCTGCTCTGGATAAGAGCATCAGCTAAACAGCTGAGATGTAAATGAGATGTAAATGTTGAGAGTTCCTCAACAGATGATGAAGAGGAAGGGCCAATGATGTGAAGGCCCAGATCCATCAGAGTATCAATGTTCTTCCTCTCTCTCCTCCCCTCTCACTGCAGACATGAACCACTGGCTGAGAAACATCCTGATTCTGACTCTCTGGCTAGGTAACACTTTAAACCTACTGATTGTTCTCCTTTAATCAATCATCTTTATTGATCCATCTCTTCCTCTGCATGTTCTCTTCTTCCCCAGAGTGTAAAGGAGAAGACAGAGTGACCCAGCCAGCAGGAGATGTCATTGCTGCTGAAGGAGACACAGTTACACTTGACTGTACTTTTGAGACGAGTTATCCAGGTCCAACTTTGTTCTGGTACAAACAGGATGGAAACAACAGCCCCAGATTCATGCTGAGTCGCATGCAACAGAACGATGTGAAAACAGAGGATAAGTTTAAGGAGAGGTTTTCATCAACAGTTGATTCCACCTCAAAATCAGTTCCTCTGAAGATCCAGAAGCTTCAGCTGTCTGACTCTGCTGTGTACTACTGTGCTCTGCAGCCCACAGTGACAGGAAACACCAAAACTCTGTACAAAAACCTTTGGAGCAAAGACAACAGAATACTCCACAACTTCCACTAGAGGGAGTCACACACTGTTAAACTTCAGTGTGATGATGCAGTCTGGATTTGTTTCATCTTGAACAAATGTATGCAATACTGTCAATATACTGTATGTACTGTTATACTTCAGTATTGGAGAAAAAAAATGTACACAGTTTGAATGAAACATGTCTATAAACTGGTTGGCATCACAGACTCAGGTTCTCATTGCTTTTGTTCTCGTCTTTATAAAAGTTTCTCAGTTTTTCTCTCAGGCTGTGATTTCTTGTGGTGTACCACAGGGTTCAATCCTGGGGCTTCTCATTTTCTATCTACATGTTGCCTTCAGATCAAATTATTTTTAAAACACATCAGTTTCCATTGTTTTGCCAACAATATTGGATTATAGTTCCCATTAAAATCCAGCAATCATGGCAGCTGGTTTTATTCATGTGAAGTTCTGGTGTTCCAGACCTTCCTACAACTGAGTGAGTCTAGAAATTTGACGATTATTTTTGCCCCTTCAGCTGAAGGGAATAATCTTATATTCCAATTGGCTACAATTGCATTAAATGTCAATCCACTCAGCAGTGATGTCCAAACCAACAATACAGTATCTGAAATACAAGAATTAATGTCACGATTGATGGTGGGGCAGGTTGGTGGACCCAAATGCAGGACACAGAGCAAGCGAGTGCAGTTCAAAGAAGGTTTAATTAAAACCGAGCACACTTGAATCCAGAATCCAAAAACAACAGAGTCCAAATAAACAGTTGAACCAACAGTAATCAAAAATCCACAGAAACAGGGTGACACGACGAGCAGGGCAGGTAAAACAATACAACACGAGACAGAGCGTCTACACACTACAATGACCGGACACAGACTGAGGAAACAAACAAGTATATATACACACACACACACACACACACGGGGTAACGAGCTGGGAGGGAGCAACACAGGTGACCAGGATCAGGTTAACGAGGCAGGCAGAGAGACAGCAGGGAAACAGAGAGGCTCACCTGACAGGCAGACATGGGGCAAAATTAATAACCAACACAGACAGAACACGTTACAAATTACCTGACAAGAATCTAATTTCAGACAATAACAGAAACCCATGTAAACAGAGACACACCGACCAACTATAACACAGGGATCATAGCAGACAAAACCTAAATGAGAAGACAGAACTAGAACACAGAGCAGACTAAACCAAAATGATGCAGAGAAAGAACTAGAAGCAAATACTACGACATGAACTAAAGCACAGGACTAGGAACAAAGACATGGAATAAAAACCCAGACTCCCCAACAAGACACACAGCCAGGACTGAAACCCAGACACAGAGGAACCAAAATCAAAGCACAGAGAAGGCACAGCCAAAATAATATAATTCAGACAAGCTCAGGACAGGATCGTGACAATTAACCAGGCAGCAGTAACAAAGATGTGTTCAAATATACAGTATATAACTAAACTATTCAGTTTAGATAGTTTAATAAAATTTACAGACGCTTGCCTTGTTTTTAAGGTGTTACATGGGCTAGCCCCTCCCCCACTTAACCAGTTCATAAAGCAGAAGGATGGCAGAGGGGGGGTAACAGTTAGTAGAGGGGGCTGTATTGTACAGTACAGACGTAGTAAGTTTGGACAGACGGCATTCTCAGTTACAGCTACCCGTTACTGGAATAGTTCACTAGGGGGTGGTGATGGAGCAGTGGACAAGACACATGCCTTTGGTGTGAGAGACCCAGGTTCAATCCTCCACTGGGACCCATCCACCATTGTGTCCCTGAGCGAGACACTTAACCCCTCGTTGCTCCAGAGGAGTGCGACCTCTGACATGTAGAGCAATTGGAAGTTGTTCAAATTACGGGGGGTCTGACCCCCCTAGTTAAGACTTGGACCCTCCCAAAAGAGGCAAAACCAGCAGTTCAGGGGGTCTTTCTTACCTGTATTTGTAAATATTACAATACATTTCCCATACTCGTGCCTTATATTCAAAAAAGTCTTGAAAGACGATTCAGACACCCCTGAAATGGACCGTACCATTTCCTAACATCGACGTTAGTTAAATGTCTTGTCCGTCTGCATCACTCGTAACGCAGCTGCTCCATTCCGGTGCATCACACGCTAATGGAGACGCAGCAGGTTAATGTCAGTAGTTAACTATCTAGTTGCTTTAATACACTTATCTCTCCTACCTTCAGAGATTCGTAATTAGCATTTCTTTTACTTAAAATGAGCCATCTGATGTTAGCTAGCTGAGAGTCCACCCTATCATTTCATTGTCACTATGTAATTTCACACTGGTGTTTAGGCATGAGCAGTGAAAATGGGGATTAGTTATTGTAGAGATACCTATTAACATCAATATAGAGGTTTTTTATTTCATTTCAAGTCTTTTGTGAGTCCTTTCACAATAAAAATGGCATTTGTTTTCCCCAACAACAGTGTTTGTCAGACTACTGCTTATTGGATGCAGATGACATCATTCACAACATGAACAAGAGGAAAGGAGATATTTGCTAAAAAAGAGCGAGTTGAAACTTTAAACTTGATGAGAACGATAAAACCTTAGGAATTAGAGATAATAATGCAGACTGTATTTTATGTGTGGGTTTGTTTTGAGCGGTCATGATGGTCTGCTGTTGTCTGACTTGCTGGCAGTTTTGCTCTTGACTTCTTGGTGACCTCTGACTACAAAAGTTGTCGTGTGGTATGGGGCACCCGTGAACTGGTGTGATGAATTTGTTTACATTAGTTAAATAGGCAAGGATATTGTAAGCATTGGAAGATTTTGGTTCACTGAAGCCCGCGTCTGTGCTGTACTGGGTTTACTTTTGGATCTGGAAAAATTGTTGACCCCCCCGGTTGTCACTGTATAATTCACACTCTGGTCGCTTTGGATAAAAAGCATCAGCTAAATGTGTTGAATTGAATTGAGCGAATGCAACAACTATTTCATTTTTAAACATACTTCAGACGTGGCTTAAGGCACAACAGACTTCAAGCATATATCTTCAAGAATTTACATAATCTTAACATTTTTTACATTCTGTACTGTCACTTTTGTCATGTATCCATGTACTATCTTGTATTTTATCTTCTTGCAGTACTTGATAAGGCACTATACTGATGATATTTGGAACTAAATGGTTGTTTTTTATACGTACTGTAATGTTTAGCCCCATGCTGGAAGGAGGAGACATGGACTCAGGAGTTCTTCACCTGGTGCTTCAATTTATTTCTTCACCAGACACGTGGAAAGTGCAGTAGTGCAAGGGTGAATTATTGCAAAAATATCAAAAATTTAATAGAAAACAAAACAAGGAAACTAAGTACAAACTACTCAAATTATTACAAACTGATATTAAACAACACAAAAAAACTTATACAGGTCCTCTGCTGAGAGGAGCCTCTGCCTCCTTCCTTTATACCAGAAGCCCCTCCTACAAGACAAACCAAAGTTAATTGGAAATCTATTAAACACCAATATGTTACCTCAACCGTCCAGAATATTTCTGGCTACATCAATACACAATATATCAACTATAAAACCAGAAATGAAATGTTACATGCTGAACAAAGCTTCTCAAAACAGCAACTTAAGGTACTCCAGTACCTCTGTACTGGCTCACACTGTAAATTACTCCACACTCCATCACTTCCTGTTTGCCCCTTCAACCCAGATCCCTGCTTGAGGATGAGAACAGGTGAATGAAACATACAAACATTTGGATGACCTTGGGTAAATCCAGTAAGCTAAAATAAATGACTTGAAATGAACTGTGTATGTGTTGTATTTATCCAATCATGATTTCAACTCTTCTGACTAGTACTTAAATGAACTGAAATGAATGACATGACAAAATGACATGAATGACATGAAATGACAAGCCATGTGTCCATTGATGCTAGCCCATATGCTAAAGGTAATGCTAATGCTAAAAGTCCTATGCTAATGTTCAGCTAAGGTTAGCTCAGCATGCTAAGACCAATGCTACCGCTGGCTTAAATGAAGGCATGGGGTAGCCCCATGACACGCACTTTAATCACTTTTGTAATGTAGTTATGCATGATACTTTTAATGTATTTTTCTTGCAGTACTTGTTGAAACATTGTTCTGATGTACATTTACATTGAAGTCTAACTACGGTGTTGATTAATGTGAACTGTCCCTGTTAAATTAAATAAAAAATACCACTTTGATACGGCAGCTAACAGAATACAGTGAGTCAACTCAGGTAACTCAGCAAAGGCTGCACCAAAGCAACAAAGACTGACGATACTATAAAGGAGAGAGACATTTCCTTCAGACAGGGACAAGGCCAAAAGGATTACCAAGATTAAATTCAAAGCTGTGGTAGAGAATTACAGGTTTATACAGTCTTTTGGAGTCACGGTGCGCCCTACCCTCTGGATATTTCAGACACTGTCCTACTAGAGCTTTACAACAAGGCCTGTGACCACCTATGATGTGTTTTATCAGATGAGATGACAGCTATTATTCAACTGTCAAGCATACAGGTATCAGATCAGGACTCTGTGTGGACAGATACGTCATATTAAAAGACTGAGCAAAGCACCTGTAGGGGACAAAAGAACCTGATCAGGACGTCCCTAATGAAATGTCCTCCATGTTCCCAGAATAGAGAGCAGGTCTTCAGGTAGGCTTCCTTCTAGTGGGACCTGCCTCGGTCTCACAATGGTGTGAAGAACTGAAAGTGGACATTCAGGAAACATTTCTCTGAGGCAGAGCTGCTCTGGATGCACAAATAATCTCACTGGCTGAACTGAACTTTGGTAGACAGCCAATCTCTAAAAAGGGGATTCTCTGGCCCCGCCCACTGAAGTCCAACTCAACCAATGAGATTCTTTGCGTCTCCAGAGCAGAAATGTTTGAGGAACTAAAAGCACAATCAGCTTGATGTTGAGGAGAAGGGCTGTGCAGCAGAGAGGCTGTTTAGTTTCTTCATTCTACTGCAGTGGAAGAACATTGCTCATCTGCTGTCTGTCTGGCTTTAACAACTCCAAAGACATGTTGCTTTACCTCTTTTTACTTTGCTCTCACTTCATAGGTGAGTGTTGGA